TATTAAACTATTAAACATATTTTTATAATATATGGTCATTTAGTTTAATTTGATTAACCAACTGAATTGACCGCGCGTCGCAACGCGGCAAATTTAAATTTATAATATTTTCCTCGACTAACCTCTACTAACTAGTACTAGCGGCGAATAAGGGTCGATCCCACGAGGAGCAGGAACTAAGTCGTGATAATTTTCGTATCAATTGAACTAAACTACGAAAGCAGTAAATGAGGGGATTGTTTTGCTAAAAATAAAAATAATAAAATAAAATAAAATAAGAAAAGTCCAGTTTTTGATTTAGTTATCACCCAATCTAAATCTACCGTTAATTAATTTCGACGATTTCTTTAAATTGCTAACAAATTACCAATCCTAGCTAACAACAAGCTCTGTTAACCGAATTTTCCCTTACCGAATATTTAATCGAAATAGGCTCTTCGACTAAACCTAACTAGTGGACAACCTAGAATAAGCTCTCTAGATTTAATACACTAGCAGCATTAATTACTAGGAAAATAGATCAGTCTAAGCAATGAACGCGTAAGCTCAGACCATTTAACTTATGTTCACGCTACCCTAAGGATGCACGACCCCTAGTTTACTACAAACGAAACAAGACAATAACAATTACGGATTAAACTCTCGTATCTAGCAGTTAAACTATGAATATTTAACGTAGTTGGCCAGACTAAATCAAACACCATAATTCATAAACATTAAACACAGATAACGTGAATCAACTCATCAACAAAAATAAATACGGCGTCTCAATTAACCAACGATAAAAATAAATCCTTCAATCCATAGACAAATCAAAGTTAGGGTTCAAACACGCCCTTAAACTGGATAAAAATTCTAACCTAACATAAAATAAAAATAAATAAAAGATAAAAGAGAGAACAAAGATCTCCCTCGTGTGCGGGTGCGGCTTCCCTCCGCGTGTATAATCTTCTCTCTCAGCGGCTCTCTCTGTTTCTGTCTTTTTTCTTGTTCTCGGCTCTCTGTTCTTGTGCCAGGCGTCCAAAAAAAATTAATTCTCATATAGCATGCTCTCGGCAAAAATAGATCACCCAATATAAATCCCAAGACCCCTCTCTAACTTTTGTTGTATGTCGTGGCCCTATTGGTCTTCTCCAATTTTTAATTCCCTAGGACTCCAAAAAAATGCTTGGCTCCGTATGTTAATTAACTCCCAACCAATAAATCAACGTCCCACGTTTTAACATGGGCTGCATAATTGTACATCTCAATTCCTTAGCAAAAAAATCCCTTACAGCCATTTAAATTAGTTCCAGCCCAAATGATATTGAACTCCCAACATTAATTGACTTGGGCCTTCTTTAGCCTGGTATTGCGGCGTCTCGAGATCAAAGTGAACTTTTGTCTAATGGTTGGCGTACACAAATTACTCCAATGAGCTGAAAATAAATATAAAAATATTAATGTGTATGAATCCATCCAAATAATAAATCAGTCAAAAAAATAAACGTGCTAATAAATTTAGGGTATAAGAATACACCATTAACTATATAAAATAAGCATATTTTCCGACCTATCATGAATAAACCGATTTTTCCGTTCAATTTTAGTTTGGATTTGCACATAAAAATAATCCACACTGCATAGCTCACAGTAGTTTTAAACAAGATGCACATTAGTAACTATAAGAATGCACAATAGTGTTAGACCAAATGCACATAATGCACTTTAGAATGCTGATATGCATAACTGTGTATTGCGCACAATGGCACCACGTGAAGAAAAAAAAACGTGGTTTTGATAATGTGTATTTTTCACTGATATTAAAATGTTGGTTATTTTGGTCCAACTTCGATTTTATTTACCAATAATTAAATAAATAAATAAAAATAAATAATTATAGAATCGGGCGAACTATATAAAAAATATTATTTATATATTTTAGTACTATATTTATATATATATTATTATTTGCAACAAACCATAATATAAAATATTAAATAAAAATGTAAAAATACATTATATATAAATAATTTGATATGCAAAATAGTATAGTTTTTTTTTTTTTTTTTCCGGAACCATAGAAGGATCTATTAACTGAAAGAAACCAAGGTACAAAGTTTAGATACACAAAGAGCAAACATGAGAGGCACATCAAAAGATGGCCTAGAGCCTCAACAACAACCAACCTAGAACAAAAGGAAAACCAGAAAATACAAAGGAAAAGCAAATCAACCACTGCCTAAAAGCCTAGTCAAATGCTAATCCAAGAAAACAAAAAACAGAAACCAAACAAAGAAGGACAAAAACTAAAGATAACTAAGCTGCAGCCTGGAAGTCCCTCCAATCAGACATTGCTGCTTGAATGACAATGTGAGGAGGGGGTATAGAGTGCTGAAAAATCCAGTGATTCCTAGTCTTCCAGAGCCACCAAAGGAGGTAAGTGGACAACTGGATCCTCTCCTCAGCCAAGTCTGAGTGATCAATGCTGCAAATGGCTTGGCACCATGTTCTGAATGAGTTTCTGCACTGAGAGAGGCCTGGCCATGAAACTGGTGCAAGATTCCAGATTGTACAAGCTCTAGAGCATTGAAAGAGTGCATGCTCAACTGTTTCAGGGGCTTCTCCACAACATCTGCAAATCACATCAATGTCCAATCCTCTTTTATTCAAATTGACAAGAACAGGTAAAGCTCCAGTTAGACATTTCCAGATAAAGATTTAATTTTTGGGAGAACTTTCAGAGACCAAGTTCTTTTGAGAGTGAGGGGCCATGGATTAGGAGATGAGCTGCTTTCAGGCATATCCAATACTCTGACTTTCTGAGCAACCAAGGCAGCATATGTGTTGGCTACTGAAAATCTCCCTTTCTTGTCCAAGGCCCAGTAATGTCTGTCAGGCAAGTCAGCTCTCAAGGTTTTGATTTTCAAGATTGCAGCACTGTCTGATTCATTAAAAATTTGTTTCACTAGCCATTCATTCCAGTGAGAGCCATCAGTCTGCAGCAAATCCTTAACAAAAATGAGGTGATCCCTAGCAATTTCAAGCATTTCTGGGGCAGGTTTCAATAAGGTAGGAACCCAATTGCAATCAGAAATTCTAGTGGAGGCTCCATTTCTAATCTCAGTTCTCAGCCATTTTGTAAAGGAAGGCAAAACATCAAGCCAGCAATTCCATAGCCAGGAGCTTCTGTTGGATCTAGTAGCATGAAATATAGAGGAGTTGGGAAAGTACCTTTCCTTCAGAACTCTGCTTACAAGAAGGTTTGGCTGGCTTGTGATTCTCCAGAGTTGTTTGCAGATAAGAGCTTCATTGAAGAGTTTGATATCTAAGAGGCCTAGACCTCCATTCAGCTTGGGAATAGCAACTTTGTCCCAACTCTTCCAATGTATGCCTCTGGATTCTTCAGAATTAGAACACCACCAGAACCTTGCACACAAACTAGAAATAGCAGAACAGATGGAAGCAGGTAACTTGAAGCAGGACATGGTAAATATAGGTAAGGCTTGCAGCACTGCTTTCATCAATACTAATTTACCAGCAGAAGATAAGAGTTTGGCCTTCCAGCTTTGCAGTTTGCCCTGAATTGCTTCCAGAAGATATGCAAAAACTTCTTTTTTTGATCTCCAAATGCCCAAGGGAAGTCCAAGATATCTTGTGGACCTGTGAGATTGAATGCCTTGAAGAGCAGAGCAGACATTGGATTGGATTATCATGGGAGTGTTTCTGCTGAAGAATATAGCAGATTTTTGCAGGTTAACAGCTTGCCCAGTGAATAGTTTGTATCTGGTCAAAATGTCCATAAGGATATGTGCTTGATCAACTCCAGCCTTACAGAATAGTAGAGAATCATCGGCAAACAACAGATGAGAGATAGCAGGACCATTTTGAGACAGTATTAGCTCTTTAAGATTACCAGAAGAACAGGCTTCCAAGATCAAAGCAGTGAGGAGTTCTGAAATGATTAAAAACAAATAAGGGGAGATAGGATCCCCTTGCCTGACTCCTCTGGAGGGTTTAATGTAACCACTGACTTCACCATTGATTTTAAATGAGATAGATGTAGTAGTGATGCAATCCATGATTAGTTTAACAAAATCAGCATGAAACCCCATTTGAATCATTATCTTTTTGATACTAAGCCATTCAACACTGTCAAATGCTTTCACTAGATCAAGCTTAAGTGCCATAAATAAATTTTTGCCAGAAGAGTGCCTGTTAAGAAAATGAAAAGCTTCTTGTGCCACAATAACATTATCCAGTAATTGCCTCCCTTTAATGAATGCAGATTGTTGATCACTTATGCAATCCTTCAGACAAGATTGTAATCTCAAAGCAAGGATTTTAGAGATTACCTTGTAAACAACCGAGCACAGACTGATTGGCCTAAATTGGCTTAAAGAGTCAGGAGATGCACACTTGGGAATTAGGGACAGGATAGTTTGGTTCCAATATTGCAGAAGTTGCCCTGAGCTGAAGAAACTGATCACTGCAGCCACCAAGTCAGCATGAATTAAAGACCAGAGATGTTGATAAAAGAAGGCACTCATACCTTCTTCACCTGGAGACTTATCTGGGGGAAGACTGAAAAGAGCAGTTTTCACTTCTTCTTCCTCGACTGGTAGCATAAGAGAAGTATTCATATCAGAGGTGATTGATCTAGGGATCAGATGAAGTACTGAGTCACCTCCCCAGGAGCCTTCAGAGCAGAACAGATTAGAGTAAAAATCAGAGATGTGGGATTGAATTGCAGACTGGGATGTGAGCTCTTCACCTCTGGAAGACACTAGTCTGGATATTGCATTCTTCCTCCTTCTCTGTAATGTGTAGGCATGAAAAAAATTGGAGTTAGAATCTCCATGTTTGAGCCAATTCAATCTCACCTTCTGGTTCCAGTAAAGCTCTTCTTGGTGATGGGCCTTTTGAAGATCAATTCTGGTGTTGTTCCAGTCATCCCAGTTGTTGGCTATGTTCTGTGCTCTCAGATCTTCCAGCTTCTGAGTGAGAGATGCTATGATAAGCTGATTTTGAGTATGAAATTTGGAGCTCCAGATTAAGAGTGCAGTTCTGGTGTTTTTGACTTTCTCTTTGAGTTTAAAAAAGGGGGTGCCTGAAACTGGAATCCTCCAAGCAGCAGACACTACCTCCAAGAATCCTTCCTTGCCCACCCAACGTTTGTCAAAATGAAATCTTTTTGGTTTTCTGTCTTTTTGAGAGCCAGCATCCACCAAGAGAATAGAGTGATCAGAGGAACTAGTAGCTTTGTTCAAAACTGTGGCATTAGGAAATGCTTGATGCCAATCCAGGGAGCCAAAAGCTCTGTCTAGCCTTTCCTCTACTAGGCCTTCAGTTGTTCTGTTGTTACACCAAGTAAACTGATGTCCCAGCATTTTAATTTCCTCCATATCCATGTTTTTGATGAAAGAGTTAAAGCCCAAGAAGCTGCCATAGGGTCTAGGATTACCTCCCTCTTTCTCCACATTGGAACAGAGATCATTCCAATCTCCAGATACAAACCATAAGTCTCCCCAACCAGTCTTTGCAGCTTCAAGATCAGCCCACTGAGATATCCTAACAGATTTGTTGGTACTGAGATACACAAATATTCCCCATTGAGGTTCAGAATTTGCTAGTTGGAAGTGGATAGCAATGTAAAAAGAAGTAGACTGAATGTGAAGAATTGAGACAGATGGTTCCCATAATAATAAGAGACCTCCCCCTTGACCTTGAGGATCCACCAAGGAAAATCGATCCTCAAAGCCTAATTTTTTACAGATGGTTTTAACAAAAGCATTTGGTTTTTTAGTTTCTGACAGAAAAATAAAAACTGGGTGATGAGATCTAATAATCCCTCTGATTTGGGAAACTGTAGAGGGCCCACCCAGCCCTCTACAGTTCCACACCGCAGCTAACATTGGGAACTCGGGTGCCAATCGAGGCTGGCCACCACCACCTTGTCAGATGAAGCTTTTGACTTTTTCATGGCTGAACCCTGAGAATTCTGCTCCTCATCCTCCATTGATTCATAGGGTTGATCTGGTTTGTCTCTTTTGCCTATCAACAATTGGTCTGTCTGAGAGGGATTATCAATAAGCCTCTGCAGCCTGCCCATCTTATTCCCCGTTCTTTTCCAGGTTGTTATTTTGCCTTTGCCTTTGTCAGACACCTGGGAATGGGGAGCCACAAAAGTAGATAATGGTCCAGCTTCAAGATCCATAGCATTAATTTGCTCCTCACTAGCAGATATTGGCTTTGACACCTCTGGTGATTTGTGCATTGCGATGGGGGAGCCAGTAGATGAGCCCAATACAGATGACTTAATAGTAGGAGTGGAATCTGCTGCGTGTATGATGATTTGATTCCTGGGAGTTGATTGTCCGAATGTCTCTGGATTCTGAGACGATTGCCCAGGAGAGGAGGGTTGCTGAGAATTGCGGGGACTTTGAGGTGGGCTTCTTGACCCAGAATTATGGTGATAATTACCGGTCCATAATTGTCCTTCAGGGACCTTAAGCCAATCGCCATATTGGCCTTCTTTGAGATTACCTGACTTGATGTCATCAACTTTCTTTAAGCATCCTTTCTCTAGATGCCCAATGTGTCCGCAGTAGTGACACAAATTTCTTAGTTTTTCATATTTGAAACTAATAGTAACCACATCCTCACCAAGTCTAACTTTAGAGCATCTGAAGATTGGTTCGGTTAAATCCAATGTAACCAGTAGACATAGAAATTTCCCACCGTGATTACCAAAGCTCTTAATAACCACATTGTCTACGCCTTTGAAGACTTTCCCAATTTTAATCTCGACCTCTGTGCTAAGCCAGTTCAACGGTATGTTAGCTACCTGGACCCATATGTTGAGTTCTTGGAAGCAGTGATGTTTGCTGTTTAGACCTTTCCTCCATTCGCGCAGAATCAGGTACTGGTTCTCAAAGGTCCAGTTAGTGCCATAGCTTACCCTTCTGAGATCCTCCATGCTCTGAAAGATGAATTGGAAGTAGTTGGTTTCGAGTTCTTTGACCTCCATCGGTTGAGAGAGACGCCATATTTGGTTCATGGAGCGCTTAATTCCAATCCAGCTAGCAGGTCTGTCGCCTATTATTTTTCCGAATAGACTGCGATGACATTCATCGGCACTGACACGGATATCTTCATTAACAATATCTACTAGTAACTCTTCTCTTTCTGACAGAGAGAAATTTCCCATCCTCTGCGACAGGTCCTCGTCGTGGTGGGAGCTCGAAGCCCTAGCCATGGTGAATTATAAAAAAAACCCCAAATCAACGCTAATTAGGGTTACCGCAAAAACTGCGAAGAAACGAGGGCTGAAAACGCGAAATAGCGAGATGTGAGGAGAAGGAAACAGAGACAAGAAATGAGATCTGGCTATGGAAATGCTAAGAAGCAGGATCAAGGATCAAAGCTCCCAACTGGAAGAATTCGGAATCGCTCCCAACTGGAAGAATCATTAACGCAAAATAGTATAGTTGAAATACACATTATTAAAGTTTCTAAAATTGAAATGCACATGATTGTATGTGGGGATGCACATTGTCGATTTCGATATTTTATTATAATGTCTTTTCAACCAAAAATATTACAAAATATTTAATATATATATATATATTAAAATATTATATATAACATTTATAATATAAATAATAAATTATTCTGATTATTTAAGATAATTTTATTAACCGACCAAAAAAAACTTACTATTTCAGTTCAATTTTAGTTTAGTTTGTGGCAAATAAATACAAATGTCAGTGTTGTCAGTGCACAATATTGTTAGACGAATTGCGCATTAGCAACTATCAAATTGCACAATAGGGACATAAACCGACCAAACTAAAATTTCTGGTTTGAAATTTTATATTTCAATTCGATTATGTATAGGACGGCGATTCGCCCGGCGATGTTATACGGTGCTGAATGTTGGCCTACAAAAAGGCAACATGTCGAACAACTAAGTGTAGCAGAGATGCGGATGTTGCGTTGGTTTTGCGGGCACACAAGAAGAGATAGAATCCGAAATGAGGATATTCGTGATAGGGTCGGGGTGGCCCCAATTGAGGAGAAATTGGTTCAACATCGGCTGAGGTGGTTCGGACATGTCCATCGGAGGCCTCCTGATGCACCGGTATGCAGGGGAGTTCTACAGCGGGTCGATGTAGTTAAGAGAGGTAGAGGTCGGCCTAAACTCACTTGGGAAGAGTCGGTTCAGAGAGACCTTAAAGATTGTCATATCTCCAAGGATTTAGCGGCGGATAGGAGCGCTTGGAGACTAGCGATCAACGTGCCGGAACCGTGACTTTTGCTCCTTTCTCTTTTGCTCCAATCTTTTTTTTTTAATTCCCTAGGACTCCAAAAAAATGCTTGGCTCCGTGTGTTAATTAACTCCCAACTAATAAATTAACGTCCCACGTTTTAACATGGGCTGCATAATTGTACATCTCAATTCCTTAGCAAACAAATCCCTTACAGCCATTTAAATTAGTTCCAGCCCAAATGATATTGAACTCCCAACATTAATTGACTTGGGCCTTCTTTAGCCTGGTATTGCGGCGTCTCGAGATCAAAGTGAACTTTCGTCTAATGGTTGGCGTACACAAATTACTCCAATGAGCTGAAAATAAACATAAAAATATTAATGTGTATGAATCCATCCAAATAATAAATAAGTCAAAAAATATAAACGTGCTAATAAATTTAGTGTATAAGAATACACCATTAACTATATAAAATAAGCACATTTTCCGACCTATCAAATCTCCCCAAACTTAAACCGTTGCTTGTCCCCAAGCAACTTAGAACTAAAACCACATAGATGGATATAAACAAGTACGTAGAATATTCGTTCAGGTCCTCACACATCTCACATAAATGCATAGCTACAACTTCTCAAGTTAATAATCCCGGACTCAAAATGAAATCATCTTTAGAACGCCAACAATCAAATATCAATTCAGTGAATCACCACAGTTCATCAATCTCTTTACCGAGTATACCAATCATGCAACTAATGACACCCCTTTCTTTGTCAACCGGTTTGGTTCCTATTCGCTTCTAGCCAGAAATCAAAAGTCTCGAATTTTTTTTTTTTCATTTCTTTTTTCTCTTTTTTTTTTTTTTGAAAACGGCAGCTCCGTCACAGTCTATGGCGTTTTGCTATTCGTGCTAGAGTGATGCACTAAAGCTCACAGACTGGCAGCTGTTGCAGCCCACGATCTTTTTTTTTTCCAACACCCATTATTTTTCTCCTCCACCTTCATTATTCACACCATTTTTTTTATTTCTTTCTTCTTTTTTCGAGACATTCAACTCCCATCTTTCCACGTCAAGTCACCTCACACAATCGACATCAAGCAAAATAATCACCAGCACAGTTCAAGAATAAAACAGTTCAAGACGAATTACTACGAATAAAACACATAAATGTCAACTATCATGTCTTTGTCCCTCAAATGATAACACCTCAAGATTTTAACCAGAAATAATCAATCCAAGTCATTATAACTAGCACAATATTCCAATAGACTCTCATGTCATCATCGCCAAATTCCACATACAAATAGACTCACACTAATCAAGAAAAACATGCTAGGACATCAACTCAACAACTCAACACCTCCCCAAACTTATACTTTGCACAAATAAGAGAGCGCGAAAAGAGGTAAAAGGAAAGAGTTCACCTTATCAAAGAGAAGAAGTCGCGATCGTCGCACACCATTGGGTTGCCTCCCAACAAGTGCCTTTTTTTAGTGTCATTGGCTCGACTTATTGCTCCGCTTTATTCAAGCGGTCCATGGCGGCTTCATAGGTGGCCTCAAAGGAGGCATAAACCTTCAGCTCCATGCTTATGAAAGATCCCCTCGTCTGATGTCGGGTGCTTGACCGGATCTTTTCTTCTCGGCGGTAGATCGTCAGGGAAAAAGATTAGCCCGGGATCATGGATAAGAGGAAAAATCTCAACCACCTCAAGGATGTAAGGCTCTTGATATTCAACATGCTCGACTGCTGGTTGTTCGATCTCGGATAGAAGATATTGATTTTCAGTCATGCTCGGGGCAATTGATGAAGCTTTCACATCGTTTTGACATTCGAACGGGTTGTTATCGGGGCCCCCAATAGCAGTAGAACATGCTACCAGACTGCTATCAGGGGGCAATAACAGCGGAGATTTGCTCCTCATTGTCTTCTTCTTCTTCATCCTCTTCATCGTTCGGCTCAAAAGTACGTACGTCCAGCACCTCAATCTTCGTGTCGCTGCTTAGCTCAAGGTTTCCAACATCACTTTGGCTCGGTTCGGCTTGAGATGATAGCCGACTCTTGGCTCGTGCATCTAGTTCGCTCAATACATCACCAATCATTTTGCTAGTAGCCATCAAAGATTTTTGACACTCCTCAAATAATTTCATCATTGACGGGCTAGCCTCTTGTTCAAGTGAAGGTTCTGAATGTGAGCCTCCATAGTGGAATTGAGAGTCATCGTGCTCATAAGTAGGCCCATACGATCGAGAATATTGTGAATTTTCATAGAATGAATTTCCACGCTCTCCCCAACCGTAATGGTCCCTATCGAAATTCGAGCACGCCCAATCATCTTGTCTATACCTATCTCTCTCGGTAGCTCTACGTGCACCATACCTCTCGAACAGAAATGGACAATCATCGGTGACGTGTCGTGTGGTATGACATAGACGACATGGTCTCCTTAAAGCTTCACGAACACTCTCAATGGCTTCTTGGATCATAGCCGACATCCTAGCCTCACGATGTTGGTCTCGTGTTTCCCTCCTTTTCATTTCATAATATGAGTCGTAAGCGAAGCACACTCCGGGCTCCAAATCCATTTACGAATACCACCTGCAAAATAAACAAAAAAGGGGGGGGGGCATTAAAAGAATCAAAGAAAAAAAAAGAAAATAAATACCATTCTAATTACCTAATTCAATTAACACTAAAGAAAATCACAACTCAATTGCGCCACTCCCCGGCAACGGCGCCAAAATTTTACAGCGCGTCGCAACGCGGTAAATTTAAATTTATAATATTTTCCTCGACTAACCTCTACTAACTAGTAGTAGCGGCGAATAAGGGTCGATCCCACGAGGAGCAGGAACTAAGTCGTGATAATTTTCGTATCAATTGAACTAAACTACGAAAGAAGTAAATGGGGGGGATTGTTTTGATAAAAATAAAAATAATAAAATAAAATAAAATAAGAGAAGTCCAGTTTTCGGTTTAGTTATCACCCAATCTAAATCTACCGTTAATTAATTTCGACGCTTTCTTTAAATTGCTAACAAATTACCAACCCTAGCTAACAACAAGCTCTGTTAACCGATTTTTCCCTTACCGAATATTTAATCGAAATATGCTCTTCCCCACTAAACCTAACTAGTGGACAACCTAGAATAAGCTCTCTAGATTTAATACATTAGCAGTATTAATTACTAGGAAAATAGATCAGTCTAAGCAATGAACGCGTAAGCTCGGACCATTTAACTTATGTTCACGCTACCCTAAGGATGCACGACCCCTAGCTTACTACTAATGAAACAAGACAATAACAATTACGGATTAAAATCTCGTATCTAGCAGTTAAACTATGAATATTTAACGTAGTTGGCCAGACTAAATCAAACACCATAATTCATAAACATTAAACACCGATAACGTGAATCAACTCATCAACAAAAATAAATACGGCGTCTCAATTAACCAACGATAAAAATAAATCCTCCAATCCATAGACAAATCAAAGTTAGGGTTCAAACATCCCCTTAAACTGGATAAAAATTCTAACCTAACATACTAATAAAAATAAATAAAAGATAAAAGAGAGAACAAAGATCTCCCTCGTGTGCGGGTGCGACTTCCCTCCGTTTTTATAATCTTCTCTCTCAGCGGCTCTCTCTGTTTCTGTCTTTTATCTTGTTCTCGGCTCTCTGTTCTTGTGCCAGGCGTCCAAAAAAAATTAATTCTCGTATGGCATGCTCTCAGCAAAAATAAATCACCCAATATAAATCCCAAGACCCCTCTCTAACTTTTGCTGTGTGTCGTGGCCCTATTGGTCTTCTCCAATTTTTAATTCCCTAGGACTCCAAAAAAATGCTTGGCTCCGTGTGTTAATTAACTCCCAACCAATAAATTAACGTCCCACGTTTTAACATGGGTTGCATAATTGTACATCTCAATTCCTTAGCAAACAAATCCCTTACAGCCATTTAAATTAGTTCCAGCCCAAATGATATTGAACTCCCAACATTAATTGACTTGGGCCTTCTTTAGCCTGGTATTGCGGTGTCTCGAGATCAAAGTGAACTTTCGTCTAATGGTTGGCGTACACAAATTACTCCAATGAGCTGAAAATAAATATAAAAATATTAATGTGTATGAATCCATCCAAATAATAAATAAGTCAAAAAATATAAACGTGCTAATAAATTTAGTGTATAAGAATACACCATTAACTATATAAAATAAGCACATTTTCTGACCTATCATGAATAAACCGATTTTTCAGTTCAATTTTAGTTTGGATTTGCACATAAAAATAATCCACACTGCATAGCTCACAATAGTTTTAAACAAGGTGCACATTAGTAACTATAAGAATGCACAATAGTGTTAGACCAAATGCACATAATGCACTTTAGAATGCTGATATGCATAACTGTGTATTGCGCACAATGGCACCACGTGAAGAAAAAAAAACGAGGTTTTGATAATGTGTATTTTTCACTGATATTAAAATGTTGGTTATTTTGGTCCAACTTCGATTTTATTTACCAATAATTAAATAAATAAATAAAAATAAATAATTATAGAATCGGGCGAACTATATAAAAAAATATTATTTATATATTTTATTACTATATATATATATTATTATTTGCAACAAACCATAATATAAAATATTAAATAAAAATTAAAAAATACATTATATATAAATAATTTGATATGCAAAATAGTATAGTTGAAATACACATTATTAAAGTTTCTAAAATTGAAATGCACATTATTGTATGTGGGGATGCACATTGTCGATTTCGATATTTTATTATAATGTCTTTTCAACCAAAAATATTACAAAATATTTAATATATATATATATTAAAATATTATATATAACATTTATAATATAAATAATAAATTATTCTGATTATTTAAGATAATTTTATTAACCGACCAAAAAAAACTTACTATTTCAGTTCAATTTTAGTTTAGTTTGTGGCAAATAAATACAAATGTCAGTGTTGCCAGTGCACAATATTGTTAGACGAATTGCGCATTAGCAATCAAATTGCACAATAGGGACATAAACCGACCAAACTAAAATTTCTGGTTTGAAATTTTATATTTCAATTCGATTATGTATAGGACGGCGATTCGCCCGACGATGCTATACGGTGCTGAATGTTGGCCTACAAAAAGGCAACATGTCCAACAACTAAGTGTAGCAGAGATGCGGATGTTGCGTTGGTTTTGCGGGCACACAAGAAGAGATAGAATCCGAAATGAGGATATTCGTGATAGGGTCGGGGTGGCCCCAATTGAGGAGAAATTGGTTCAACATCGGTTGAGGTGGTTCGGACATGTCCAACGGAGGCCTCCTGATGCACCGGTACGCAGGGGAGTTCTACAGCGGGTCGATGTTGTTAAGAGAGGTAGAGGTCGGCCTAAACTCACTTGGGAAGAGTCGGTTCAGAGAGACCTTAAAGATTGGAATATCTCCAAGGATTTAGCGGCGGATAAGAGCGCTTGGAGACTAGCGATCAACGTGCCGGAACCGTGACTTTTGCTCCTTTCTCTTTTGCTCCAATCTTTTTTTTTTTTTTTTTTTACTACTGTTTCTATTAGGTTTCATCTCTAGCCTACCCCAACTTGTTTGAGACTAAAAGGCTTTGTTGTTGTTGTTGTTAAAGTAACAGATAGTTAATTCAGTTCGATGTGGCTTCTATTTTTTAAAATAATCAAAATAAGCGAACTAATCAAATTATACGAAAATATTATTTGTTTTTATATATTTTATGTACTACGAGTACACAATTATTATTTTATGTACTGCGAGAGCACACTAATGTTAGACAAATTGCACATTAATAACTCTCATATTATACAATAGCGACCAAAACCTATCGAACTAAAATTATCGATTCTAAATTTTATAATTTAGTTCGATTATATGTTTTCATTTTTGAAATATTTGTTATTTCAATTCGATATCAACTTTACTTTTTAGATAATGGAAATAATCAAATAGACCTAACTATGTAAAAATTATTACTTTTATTATTTAAATGTAAAAATATTATCTACTTTTAGCCAAAAAAAGAAAAAAAAAATATATTATGTTTTAATTAATGACAAATTTGACCTTGAACTATATTGTAATATACAAATTATTATAAAATTGCAATTAAGTCCATATATCTTTAAAAAAAAAAAAACCAATAACAAAAGTTAGTTTTCTGGCCGTGCCCGGCAATGCAGATTGCCGCCCCCGCCGCCTAAGAACCACTAAACGTCGGACATTACTATCTCGCTGAGGTCGGACCCTCACATCGAAGGACAGCGCGATTCTCGATCAACTTCCACATTCTTCATCGATTCCTCAGTGGGTTTTCTCGCTGCCATCCCGACGGCTTTCGACGGATCAAAGTCGAACTTCGATGGCGAGCTTTGGTGTCTACCAGCTAAACTCCAGCGAGCGGTGGTTGAAACGCATGAACAACAACTCGCAGCACACCTGAACAAAAATATTGCAATTGGGTCAAAAGTTGTAGGCACAGAACAGAGCCGATGGCTAATAACTAACTAAGCCTCCATGTTACAACACAACATTAGTAAATGGTTGTAACCTATTGCACTTTGCCAACAAACATACAGGTTTATAAATTCTGGCTTTATTTTTATGATATTAACATAAAAAAATGGAGTAAATGGTGTTGTATCCCCAGAAAATCACATATGCTATTAACCACTCTGTAAAATATAACAACAAATGTGTATAGTAGAATAGTATACTTACTCTCTAAATTTTCAGTGTCACATATCGGTGTAAGTTTGCAAACTTGCACCGCTATGCTGACACTGAAAATTTAGAGCTTCGCACTTGGGTTTAGAATATGATGCTTTTGTTGATCGAAATACCAAATTTTAGTTGCATTTATAGCCATATAACAGAGTAGATTTGAGTATATTGGTGATTAAAATACTAATTATTTTGGTACTGAAAAGCTAAGGCCATACTTTAAAGTTTTTTGTTTTTTTTTTTTTTTTTAGAAACGAAAAAAATAAAAACTCCAAAAGATTTACTAAATCATGACTTATGTACTTTGGTAAAATGAGTGAGTGTGGGTTGATATGCACAATTCAATTCGAGAAGAAACAATGTAGATTTGACTTTTAGGTAAAGTATTGGTAGCTTCTGGAGATTATCGGGTTCCGGTTAGGGCTTCTCCTTTTGGGAGTATACTGTTCATTACCGGCTTCCGGTCATCAATTCGTTTTTACAGTCACCATAACTGCAATATTCTGAAATCTCCCCAAAATTAAAATTACCCTCTTTCTGTATTTTCTCATCTGCATCGAAAATTTGCCTTTTATCGACTCATTCCATACCCTTTTACCCCATAGCTTGCACTATCCTTCAATATGCAAGAAGAAATAACGGATAAATTCCAAACTTCTCCCTCTCCCAGAAGGAGGAAAACATCACAGATCTGAACACCTCAGACATCCGATGAATGCAAGAAAAGCCTATTCGGTAAAATCGTCGACGACAGGAAAGCACACCTCTTTGGCCTCAAGCGAACCATGTCGCAAATATGGCAGCTCAAGAATCCACTTACTGTAAGAGAGTTTGAATCGGAGACAGAGAAAAACAGGGTTGCTACAGGTAAAAATTGGTCCTTTGAAAACCAATATGTTATTCTTAAAGAGTGGCAAGAAGACTTAACAGCAAACCATGAATGCTTCCAAGAAATAGATATGTGGGTTCAGGTCAGTAATGTTCCACTTAACTGGCTCTGTACGGAGGTAGGCTTAAAAATTGGGAAATCCTTCAAAAAAGTGAAAAATGTCACCATAAGCACAGGATCTGGAAATTGCGGTCGATATCTCCGACTTCTGGTTACTATCGATCTTAATGAGCCCCTCCTACGTTGTACCTGTCTCAAATTGGATGACAAGGTTCGGAGAATCGAATTCAAGTACGAAAAATTAATCAATTTATGTTATTATTGTGGAAGAATCGGCCATCTTGATCGGAGCTGTAGTTTTAAAATCGATGATATAGCAAATGGTAGACTTGCTGAAGGCCAATACCGAGAGTGGCTCAAAGCCACTGAAGGAACTGCTTCTCCCCGTCCCAGCAAATCAACTGAACCTATGCCATTACCAAGAGAGTCAAGCAGTTGCCATGCTAAATCTGCTAATGCAAATCCCCAGGAGGCACACAACAGTTACTCTTCTGAGCCATCATCAAAAAAAGCGGAATCATCTAATATGGTTTTAGACGCCAGCAACCCTGTGCAGAAATCCGCATCCAGAGAGATAGAACTTTCAAGCAAGGCCTTAATTCCAGCCACTACAAATCAAAAGCCAACAGACATCCAAGCTCATACAAATGCACCCCCCAGTAACATACTCCTCCTTGATTTCAACAATAACACCACAACTCCTGAGCATGGACAGATCATGGACTTCTCAATAGCCGCCTCACAACAGTTCCCAACAACTGATCTCAGCACACCTGACACCAGCATTACCCTTAAGGGACAGCTCAAAAAATGGACTCGAAAGCACACTAAATCAGCAGACATCAGTTCTTCCAAGCTCACACCTACTCTTTCTATACCACATGAGAGTGGGAAAAGAGGAAGACAGAATGAAGAGGATAGCACACACCAATCAGAGAAGCCAGATAACATCTCCAGTGCCAGTCACAATAAGAAGCAAAAAATGACAACTGAACAGGTGGAGGAAGCCAGCCTCAAGTGGCCCCGATGTGATCAATGACGGCCATGGTGTGGAACTGTAGAGGTCTGGGTGGGCCCTCTACAGTTCCCCAGATCAAGGAATCATGGAGATCCCACCACCCAAATTTTGCTTTTATTTGTGAAACAAGAAAATCAAAGAAGTTTATTACTGCTGTATGTAAAAACTTAGGAGTGGAAGATAGATGGGTGGTCTCTGACCCTATTAATAAAGGAGGAGGCTTGTTAGTATTTTGGAACAAAGAAGTTTCTATCTATCAAATCTTTTGTCAGCCATTTTGTATAGAAGTAGAGTTCAGTCTTAATAATAATCCCGCCAAATCTTGGTTTATTTTTGTCTATTTAAGTCCCTGCAGGACAACCAGATCTAATCAATGGCAGTTCCTCAAACAAGCTAAAGCAAGATGGGGAAACAACTGGATAATTGCAGGAGATTGGAACGATATACTTTGTCAAGGAGAAAAGAATGGAGGACGACCAAGATCTGAAGCTAGCTTCTGGGGCTTTCGAACATGTCTAGCTGAATTGGGAGGACAAGAAATTTTCATGGAAGGGTATCCCTTTACATGGGGTAACAATAGATTTGCAGAAGGCTACATCGAGGAAAAATTGGACAGAATGGTAGCATCATTACACTGGCTTGCTGCGCATCCTGATGCCAAAGTCCTCAACATATTCCGAAGTGCCTCGGATCACAATCTCTTATTGCTCCATCCTGGAACCAATCAAGAGCAGAGGAAAAAAACATTCTGTTTCGACAAAAGATGGCTTAAGCAACCAGGTATTAAGGATGAAGTCCAAAAAGCTTGGAGTCAACCAGTCCAGGGATCTGCCATGTACTCTCTTACTGAGAAGATAAAAGCAACTCGAGTAGCCCTTTTAAAGTGGAGTAGATCATTCAAAACAAATTTTGCTCAAACCATAGAAAAGCTGAACGCAGAAATGTCTGGCCTAAGGGAACAAGGAGGTGCGCGCAACTGGGAAAAATGGCACCAACTTAAACAACAACTTGATGCGACATACAAATCAGAGGAAGAATTCTGGAGACAAAAATCAAGGGCCCTCTGGCTTAAAGACGGCGACAAAAACACCAGATTCTTCCACCACGCATATACCCTTCAAAGAAGAAAATGCAACTCAATCACCAGACTGCTCAAATCTGATCATACCATTTGTGATACCAGAGAGGATATTGCCAACTGTCTCACTGACTTCTATCAGAATCTATTATCTTCAGAAGGCTCCAATGATGTTGGCAATCTGCTCAGACACATTCCCACAACCATCACAGAAGAACAAAATGCAACTCTCACAGGCCAGGTTACTGAGGATGAGATCAAGAAAGCAGTATTCTCCATGCACCCTGACAAAGCACCAGGATGGGATGGTATGACACCCTCCTTTTTCCAATCTTTCTGGAGCATCATTAAATATGATTTATGCGCAGCCATTGAATCTTTTTTTACCTCTTGTCATCTGTTAAAGAATTGGAACCTCACATTAATCACACTTATTCCCAAATGTCTCTCTCCAATCACAGTGGTAGATTACATGCCTATAAGCTTATGTGAGGTCATATACAAGGTCATTTCGAAAATTCTTGCTGACAGATTAAAATGTTGCTTATCATCTTGTATTAGCATCACACAGTCTGCATTTATTGCTGATAGACAGTTGCTGGATAATGTCATTATCGCTCATGAGGTGTTTCACTTCCTGAATAGGCACAGAACTGGCTCTAAAAAATACATGGCACTAAAACTCGACATGTCAAAAGCTTTTGATAGAATTGAATGGGCTAGTATTAAGAAAATTATGGATAAGATGGGTTTCAACCCCCAATTTATAAAATGGGTGATGACTTGTGTGGAATCTGCATCATATTCATTCAAACTTAATGGCAATCCTATTGGTTACATAATTCCCTCAAGAGGAATACGTCAAGGAGATCCTCTGTCTCCCTACCTATTCCTCTTGGTCACTGAATGCCTCTCTTGTCTGATTCAACATGAACTTTCTATTGGTTCTTACAAAGGGCTGAAAATCTCAAGGCAAGGGCCCACTCTTAGCCACTTATTCTTTGCTGATGACTCACTTATATTTTGCCAAGCTTCTGTTGACTCGGCTCATCTTATTGTGGATATGTTGGAGAAATATAAACATTTCACAGGTCAAAAAGTCAACATGGCAAAGTCCTCAATCTTTTTTAGCAAGAACACTCCAGCGGATACACAAGCTGCCATCTGTCATATTTTACAGGGTATCACTCCTCACCAATCCTCAAGATATCTGGGCTTGCCACTGGGCATAGGCAGATCCAAAGGTGAAACTTTCCACTATGTTGTTGATGCTGTAAAGAATAGATTGTTGAGCTGGAAGAATAAATTCTTATCAGGTGTAGGCAAGGAAGTTCTTATCAAATCAGTTCTCAGTGCCCTGCCTATATTCACCATGTCTTGCTTCATGTTGCCTGTGAGTATCTGTAAAGAGCTATCTCAACTTTTCTCTAACTTTTGGTGGAATTCTCAAACTTCCGATATTCACTGGAAGGCCTGGAACTTACTAACTCTCCCCAAAGCTGATGGGGGCCTGGGATTTCATGACATACATGTTCTTAATGAAGCACTTATTTTGAAACAGCTCTGGAGACTCATCACCAAGCCGGATCTTTTAATGAGCAGGGTCCTAAGAAATAAATATTTTCCAAATGGTGACTTCTTTGGAGCTAAACCTATCCAGAGTGGCTGGTTGTGGAGAACATGGCTTAAGCTACAAAAAACTTTTCTGAATGGGTTCATGATGCATGTCAGGAACGGCAGACAAACTAAAATTTGGGAGCATCCATGGATTCCGGACCTGCCCAACCATAAGCTGTTGACAAAAACACCATCTTCACCCAATCTGACCTGGGTTTCAGAGCTCATTGACACAGATGGACTCTCTTGGAACAAAGAGCTAATCAGCAGGTACTTCTCTCCATCAGAATGTGAAGCCATCTTCAAAATTAAAACCCTGAGTAAGAACCTCCCTGATAAAGCTATCTGGAAGTTTGATGGGAAAAAAAACTTCACTGTGGCAGCCACATATGCTCAATTAATATCTGAAAAGCTGCTTAAGCTTGAAATTCCAGCAAATAGCACTAACTCAAACACTTTAAGGAAAATGAGAATTAGAAGCTGGAAATTAAAAATTAAAGGGAAGGTCAAACATTTTATTTGGAGATGTTACAATGATATTCTACCTGTTGCTGTCAACCTGAATAAACGGGGACTAAATCTTGATCCTATATGTATGCTCTGTGGAGAGGAGGTAGAGACAACTGCACACACTCTTTTTCAATGCCCCAGAGCTGCAAAAGTTTGGAAGTTGTCTCCTGTCCACTGGGATGGACCTGTGCAGTTTCAAGGTGACTTTCAAAGCTGGTGGACTAATCTTTGTCTTCTCAAAGACCAAAAAGCCATCACAGATCGAATTCAACTTTCAACCTTTATCCTGTGGCAACATTGGAAGACAAGAAATCTTTGGGTTTTCCAAAGAATCTGGACCCCAGAACATATCATCATCAAGAATGCAACTCAAGAATGGATGGAATATGATACATTGATTTCCTAATTTCTCTCTGTTTATTTTTTGTATAGTTTTCTTTTCTTTTTTCCTAGCTAGGCATTTGCAGTGGCTAGATTGTTTTAGTTTCTTAGTTGCCCCTGGTAGTTCGCTGTTTCTGGCTAGTAGCAGGTCTCCGCCATATTGCAGCTGTTACTATGCAACTTTGGTTTTTTGTTTGTCTAGGTAGCTCTTGGCTCACCTCTGATCCGTCTAGGATTGTGATCTCTCAGGGATCCCGCGCATGTATGAACATTTCCTATTAATGAGAAATATTTATTGTCGTTTCGAAAAAAAAAAAAAAAAAAGACTTTTTGGTAAAGTGCTCATACTCTGTTGATGTAATTTTTTTCCCACCTAATGCCACTGTCGCCTAACGTCTTAATTTCAAATTGGATGGTGACCGTTAAATTAAAATAAACTTTGCTAATTATTTTGTCTATAGTTGCGTATAAATTGTCTCATAAGTTGAACTACAAATAAGGTGGTTGTTTTTTCTTTTAATATAAGGGCTATTAAAGAACAAACAATTGGAGTATTGAATTTTTAACACACACACAGTTTTCTTAAATTAGTACGAATCTCGTGCGATGCACGAATAAAATATATTTATTAATATTTATAAATTAAAATTTCTCATTAAATAGTATTTATAAATTAAAATATGAAATGAATATGTAATACAATTTATCTATATTAATTTATTAAAAATATTATATAAAATTTAAATTGTGCAATATTACACAAAACATGTCTATTTAAAATTAGTACACAACTCGTACGGTGCACGTAACTGATAATAAATTACATTATATTGATAGAATTTGGATAACCTTGTGTGAAATAAATCGCTTAATCCCAAGAACGTTCATATCGAATAATCGAGAACCATAATCGAATAGCTGAAGCGTACTTGATGGATTCATATCGATTGATTGCACTGAAATTGATTGGGATTTTGGATTTGGGATTTGGAGTTCTTCCAAAAAGTCGTGAACCCGATAACTCTTCTCTTCTGACGTACGAAGATAAAAAAAAAAAGCTGATAAAAAACTGGTGAAGATTCGTGGGGAACGATATTATTTATTTATAACTTAATGAAAAATTCCAAAAGACTCATGTATTTATCACGGCTTTTGGGGCTTCCACCATAAATAATTTTGACCCAAATTATTTATTAATTAGGTCCTTAATTTTAATATTATTAGTTGTTACATCACCAAATAATAACATTAACAGGTGTCCACATTTAACCATTCCACAATCTAAATTATGTTCCTTAGCTCATATTTTTGTGCAATAAATTGATCACTTAATTTGGCTAAACATCATAATGATCCAATGTATTAATTACACATATTTAATCCCAAAAAAAACATAACATATATTCATCTCAAAATAAGTGTCATTTTAAGAATTTTATACAGAAATTTAATTTGACTACAACGTGATTCCATTAAATTAATATTTTAGTAAAAAAAATCATATATTTAAAAATCTATAAATAATAAGTATAATTATAAAACTTATATTGTTTTATTAATTAAAATAAAATTATTTTTGTATAAACTATCCAAATCAAAAAAATTAAGTAGTTGAGTAATTATTAAACCATAAATAATACTATTCCATTTACGTTCAAGTTAATATTGACACATAAGTTATGAATAATTACTTATTTGACTTGTAAGTTTGGAACCTAAATTTGGAATATACAATATATATGTAATACCCCGTTTGAATTAGAATTATTTGGGATTATTTATTGATTTATTATTGCCATTATTATTGCATATTTATAGTAATATCATTATTTTATTATTATTATTAGTAAATATTTATTTGTGATTAAATGTGATTTTGCTCATTATTATTATATATATATATTGCGTGTATTATAATAATAAATAATCCGATTTTACTTATTTATTCTGGGCCATATTCTATTAAATCGAATCGAGCGAGAATTTGTATTATCGCGTTGTATTCCTTTCAGCCCGATTTAAATTGATTTCCGATCACTTGATCAATTAACTTTGGTCCAACATGAGTTAACAACTTAAACCCAATAAGAGATATTTTCTTGGCCCAATTGAATTAAAATTGGTGGCCCAATTTCTTGTTTTATTTTGGCCCAAATGTATTAATCTACCTTAGCCCAACAAGGATGTAAACTCGGTACTCTCTTTTGAATCGGTCGACATCATCTCCATGTTCAAATCTGGTAGCGATTCTTTCGTGATCAAACCGCACGTTCTCCCCAACGTCCGCCTCTTATCTTTTTCTTGCTCCTTTAAATTTTGACCAAGAGAATCAGATGGTTCATCACCCGCTCCCTCAACCTCCCTTTTTGTATCTCTCTCTCTCTCTCCCTCACACCTGTTAGCAGTAGCCATTGATTCCGGCGAACTCCATCCTCGCCGGCTTCTCTCCAAGCAGCCTCTCTGTCGCGCAGCAGAAACCGTCCGACCCCAGCAGCCCGTTCGCGAGCAGTTCATCGGGTTTCAGTCCCCGTGTTCAAAGGCTTCGAGCTTCAAGTTTTGTCCGTTTGTTCGACCCGCTGTCGGGCCCGTTTCCCATCCGATTTCTCGTAGTTTCCCGAAGTCGGGTAACTTATTCAAATCCTCTCGTTAACACGGTCGTTTTCATATATTACGTGTTATATATATTATGTGTTCGGTCTACCTAAAGTTGATTTGAATTCGGATTTCTATTAGTTCATTAAATTGTTATGTGTATATTTCGTTTATTCGTGGATTTTCGGAAGTGATTGGAACTCTCGAT